TACTGCTACTACTACTGCTACTGCTGCTACTACTACTGCTACTGCTGCTACTGCTACTACTACTACTGCTACTGCTACTACTGCTACTACTGCTACTGCTACTACTGCTACTACTGCTACTGCTTTATTATTATTATTATTAAGTTAGGGAGTTTATTTCATGAAAGTGTTATTGATCATTTACCTTGTGCTGTAACTGGTGATTGCAACACTGACATTTCTCTGTGAAACCAATAAAGGTTCTCTTCATCTTCATGAGTTCGTTCGTGTGTTCGTCTGTTCGTGTGTTCATGTGTTCGTCTGTTCATCTGTTCATGTGTTCCGCTGTTCATGAGTTGGTGTGTTTGTGTGTTCATCTGTTCATGTATTTGTCTGTTCGTGTGTTCGCGTGTCTGTTCGTCTTTTCGTCTGTTTGTGTGTTTGTGTGTTCGTCTGTTTGTGTGTTTGTGTGTTCGTGTGTTCGCCTGTTCGCGTGTTCGCCTGTTGGTGTGTTTGTCTGTTTGTGTGTTTCTGTGTTCGTCTGTTTGTGTGTTCGTGTGTTCGTCTGTTTGTGTGTTTGTGTGTTCGTCTGTTTGTGTGTTCGTGTGTTCGCCTGTTTGCGTGTTCGCCTGTTCGTGTGTTCGTCTGTTTGTCTGTTCGTTTGTTCGCATGTTCGTCTGTTCGTCTGTTCATGTGTTCACCTGTTCATGTGTTTATCTGTTCATGTGTTCATGTGTTCATCGGTTCATGTGTTCATCTGTTCATGTGTTCATCTGTTCATCTAATCACGTTTTAACCTTTTCACGTGTTCACCTGTTCACGTGTTCGTCTGTTCATGTGTTCATGTGTTTATGTGTTCGTCTGTTCGTGTGTTCGTCTGTTTGTGTGTTCATGTGTTCGTCTGTTCATCTGTTCATGTGTTCCGCTGTTCATGTGTTGGTGTGTTTGTGTGTTCATCTGTTCATGTGTTTGTCTGTTCGTGTGTTCGCGTGTCTGTTCGTCTTTTCGTGTGTTCGTCTGTTTGTGTGTTCGTCTGTTCGCGTGTTCGTCTGTTTGCGTGTTTGCGTGTTCGTCTGTTTGTGTGTTTGTCTGTTTGTTCGCATGTTCGTCTGTTCGTGTGTTTGTGTGTTTGTCTGTTCGTGTGTTCGTCTGTTCGTGTGTTCATGTGTTTGTCTGTTCATCTGTTCATGTGTTCCGCTGTTCATGTGTTGGTGTGTTTGTGTGTTCATCTGTTCATGTGTTTGTCTGTTCGTGTGTTCGCGTGTCTGTTCGTCTTTTCGTGTGTTCGTCTGTTTGTGTGTTCGTCTGTTCGCGTGTTCGTCTGTTTGCGTGTTTGCGTGTTCGTCTGTTTGTGTGTTTGTGTGTTTGTCTGTTTGTTTGTTTGCATGTTCGTCTGTTCGTGTGTTTGTGTGTTCGTCTGTTTGTGTGTTCGCCTGTTCGCGTGTTCGCCTGTTTGTGTGTTCGTCTGTTTGTCTGTTCGTTTGTTCGCATGTTCGTCTGTTCACGTGTTCACCTGTTCATGTGTTCATCTGTTCATGTGTTGGGGTGTTCATGTGTTCATCTGTTCATCTGTTCATCTGTTCATGTGTTCATCTGTTCACGTGTTCACCTGTTCACGTGTTCACCTGTTCACGTGTTTGTCTGTTCATGTGTTCATGTGTTTGTCTGTTCGTGTGTTCCTGTGTTCGTCTGTTCATGTGTTTGTCTGAACATCTGTTCATATGTTCGTGTGTTCGTGTGTTTGTGTGTTCGCCTGTTCGTGTTTTTGTGTGTTTGTGTGTTCGTCTGTTTGTGTGTTCGTGTGTTCGTCTGTTCGTGTGTTCGTCTGTTTGTGTGTTTGTGTGTTCGTGTGTTTGTCTGTTCGCGTGTTCGTGTGTTCGTGTGTTCGTCTGTTTGTCTGTTTGTGTGTTCTCATGTGTTCGTCTGTTCGTGTGTTCATGTGTTTGTCTGTTCGTGTGTTCGTCTGTTCATGTGTTCATCTGTTCATGTGTTCATCGGTTCATGTGTTCATCTGTTCATCTGTTCACGTTTTCACCTTTTCACGTGTTCACCTGTTCACGTGTTCGTCTGTTCATGTGTTCATGTGTTCATGTGTTTATGTGTTTATGTGTTCGTCTGTTCGTGTGTTCGTCTGTTCGTGTGTTCATGTGTTTGTCTGTTCATGTGTTCCGCTGTTCATGTGTTGGTGTGTTTGTGTGTTCATCTGTTCATGTGTTTGTCTGTTCGTGTGTTTGTGTGTTTGTGTGTTCGTGTGTTTGTCTGTTTGTGTGTTTGTGTGTTCGTCTGTTCGTGTGTTCATCTGTTCGTGTGTTTGTGTGTTCATGTGTTCATCTGTTCATGTGTTCATCTGTTCATGTGTTCATCTGTTCACGTGTTCACCTTTTCACGTGTTCACCTGTTCACCTGTTCACATGTTCACGTGTTCGTCTGTTCATGTGTTCATGTGTTTATGTGTTCGTCTGTTCGTGTGTTCGTCTGTTCGTGTGTTCATGTGTTTGTCTGTTCATCTGTTCATGTGTTC